TTGATTCCCGAGTCGTCCAGCTCCTCCAGTGGCCTCCTACCGCTGCTGGGCTTGGCCAACTTGGGATCAGACCTCAGCTCTAGCGTGGCCGCGGGCGGATCGCTCCAGCTTCCTCATCTACAAAACGGGAAGGCATCGCCGGCTTCCAAGGATTAAAGCCACACCCGGCCGCCCGGTTTCTCCGGGGTCCCTCCTCCCCTTCCCTACGGCCCCGCCCCACTCTGGGTCCTCCCCCCGGCGCAGGGCGCAGGGCGCAGGCGCGGCCCCGGCCACCCGGCGGAGCCGCAGTGCCCAGCGCCCCAGCTGCCGCAGCATCTTCGGTGTTCGCGTCTCTTATCGTCTCTCTTTTTCCTCGTCCTCCTGCTCGGGCCGGCGCGATGGCGAAGCCGCTGAAGGACAGCGAGAAACGGAAGCAGATAAGCGTGCGCGGGATCGCGGGGCTGGGCGACGTGTCCGAGGTCCGGAAGAGCTTCAACCGGCACCTGCACTTCACGCTGGTCAAGGACCGCAACGTGGCCACGCCTCGCGACTACTTCTTCGCGCTGGCGCACACGGTGCGCGACCACCTGGTGGGCCGCTGGATCCGCACGCAGCAGCACTACTACGAGCGCGACCCTAAGGTGAGGCGGCCGCCGGAGGGGGAGCCCGGGCCTGGGGTCCCCGCGCTCGCCCTGCTGCGCCCGCTGCCCCGCCCCCCAAAAGGGAAGCCCTTTGCGCCCGGTCTCTGGAGCCACAGTCCCCTGAGAAGTGACAGCAAAGCGTTGCGCGGCTCCCCATAAAGAGGCACGTAGGGCCAGTGCCTACAGAATGTGTCTAAATTGAGCGCAGCTGTTCGGTCCGCCCTCGCCGCCCATCGGGGATCCACGCACTGGCCTCTCGCGGAGGAGAAAAGCCTCGGGTGGGGCCTCCTGCTCCCCCACCCCCACCGCATTTCCTTGGGGGTCAGCTAGCTTTATAAACAGGCCTGGCCCGGTACTTCCCCCCGCGCCACTCGGTGCGCAGAGCGGATTCTGGCTGTCGTCTGCATCCGTGGCAGACGAAGCCCCAGGGGGTCTGGTCGTTGGCCCCCTCTGCTCAGGGCCGAGCTCGCAAGACACTTGATGCGGGACTATGGCCTTGCAGAGCTCCGCTGCGTCCCTCAATTCCTGAGCCCTGGATCCTGGCGGAATTATATGCCCTGTCCCTAGCTGTGTGCTTCCGTGATGGCTGCAGAGTCGGGGCTTTCTCTTACCCCGGCCCCACCTTGGTTTTTCTGCAGCAGCGTATGGGTAAAAAGGGGACTGGATAGTTTATGAGTTGGAAGGGGGTGAACTGTCATCTGCAGGAAATCGTGGGGCTTTTTTTTTTTTTTTTTTTTTTGGCTAGACAGCGATTAGAGGAAAATCGTTGGAGATGCTTTCTAAA